CTACGTACCCTTCTAACTAATTCGGTACTATAATATTATATATGATCTAATATCTATCACAATGACGTTAACCTTCTTTTTGTCAGTTCACTGATGTACAAAATGTGGCAGTCAAAAAATGTTCTCATTCTTTCTTCATTTTGTTTTTACTTACATGTTCTGACCTATTCTACACAGTTATCAATATTAAATCATGCCCTGAGCTATCTACACGTTTAATAATATTAAACCATTCACTGACTTATAATACACTAGTAAAATATATCAGATTATATTCTGAGCTATCTTTACATCTAACAATATTAAATCATGCCCTGACCTTATTCTACACTGTTAACAACATCAAATCATGCTCCGATCTATTCTACACTTTTAATAATATTAAGTCATGGTCTGACCTATTCTACACTATTAAAAATATTAAACCAAGCTCTGATCTGTTCCACACAGTTAACAATATTAATTCATGCTCTGGCCTGTTTTACACTTTTAACAATATTAAAAACTGCTCTGACCTATTCTTCACGATTAACAATATTAACTCATAATCTGGCCTGTTCTACACGCGTAAGGTCTGATGGTTAAGGCGCTCGATTCGCAATCTTCGGGTCGTGAAATCTAAACACATCGCAAAACATGCTCGCCCTTTCAGCCGTGGTAGCGTTATAAAGTGATGGTTAATTCCACTATTCGTTGGTACATTAGTAGCCCAAGAGTTAGCGGTAGTTGTTATCGGGTATTTGCCTTCCCTCTAGTTTATCATTGCATAATTAGGAGCTGATGTCTCAGATATCTCTCGAGTAGCTTCGCGCGAAATTAAAAAGAAAGAAAATCAAACTAGTCTAAAAATGTATCCCACACATTATAAGATATTTTCATGTGCTAGAGGTAACGCCCTCGAAAATAGTATTTGATGTACTATTAAAATAACAAAAATTGTTTATTAAGCCTAGATTATAAAAAAATATCTAGAAATCTTTCCAAGGTTCTATATTATAACCATTATTAAAACTATAGTATTCGGAACTGTAATCAGTAGGAGCAGGAGGTTCACAAGGAAAAGCATATCATGAGAAAATTCAGGCTTAGATAACAAATAAGAAGATTCATATAGGTGTCCGGAGTAAAAAAATCAAAATATTTATTTACAAAAATATGGAGTTATAAATTTAGATAAGTCTCACACTGCTTCAGGTTGTAACATCTGTTAGGCATCTAAGCTGGTCATTTAATAGGATCGTAGCTTCTGTTAGGCATCTAAGCTGGTCATTTAATAAGGTTGAAACTTCTGTTAGGCATCTAAGCTTGTCATTTAATAGGGTTGTAACTTCTCAGATCTCGGGACACTTATATTTATGCTCTGAGAAAAAAATATAAAAAATAAAAATATAATATATTGCACGAAATAGTTATTTTATAGCACCGGTAAGGCGGAAAGACTATAAAATAGTCGAATGTACAACGCTCTAACTAAACATTATTACAGGTGGTTGTACTTCTTAATTATTACACGAAACAATTGAATACTATACAATTACTAAAGAGGGCGCTAATTAAAAATATATAAAAACATCTTACATATTTTTTGAAAACTGTAAATGTCATATTTTGTAATTCAACTGGAATACCTAACCAAGCTTTTTCACCAATATATGTTCGACAAATTATCCAAACGTTTTTTACTTCAGGTAGATAATAATCAAATTATGTAGAATATCGAGTTTTATAAGTATGAACATAAGGTATTGGAATAAAGTATTTGAAAAATAAGAATGGAAATTGATTATTATAAATTGCATAAATTTCACAAATTCTAGTTTATAAACACCACATATCTTAAAGATGTTAAATTTATAATATTATTGGATAACATAAACTTCTAAAATTCTCAATAATTATAAAGTACATAGTCTTATTATGAATTACACCTAAAGTTAATATATTTGTTTTAGCAGATCTCCAACTCAATATAACAATAATGAATTTAAGGATAAAGCACAGTACACTAATAAAAATCAACACAATGTCTAAGTTTTATAATAATACCGACTGCTTTAACTAGTTTTGTGCTGATAGATTTAATATGAATAGAAATTTTCAAGTTGTTGTTCATTATCACACCTAGATATTTAAAACATTTTATTGTTTAAATACATTATCACTAATAATAATAACTTGAAGTTCGATTAACTTCAGTCTTTATTTGCTATAATCACAAATGCAGGTATATTATGGAGAGTTTGTTTGCTGTCATCCATTCATCAGTTTTCTTTAGTTTGGCATTTACATTTTTTCCAAACAATTTGGATTAAAATAGAAAATAATAGATTATTATAATTGGCAAACAAATTTATATGAAGCAAAGAAGCCTCAAGTAAACAGTTAATACTAGACCACCCGTTACCTGTTGGGTCACCCACTATTAAGAGGTTATGAAGAATTCAAGCTAATTTCAATATTGCACCGAAATGAAGGTTTATTTTGAGATAATTTAATTAAATATTTCAACCCATTCATGTTATTCATAATTCAAGAAAAGATATTTGATTGTTGATCAGGAGTAAAAGGAAAGACCACTTCATATTTCAAAAAAAGTGACGTCAGAGTTTTCAGGTATTGTGATGAACAAACCTTATTCACAGTTTATTCAAAACGCCTGAAAATAAGAAATAACAGATAATAGTAATGTTATTCGTGGTTTATTATAACAAAATTGCTATCAAAAAACCAAAAAAACTATTTCAG